CCAAGTGGCGACTCTGAATTAAAAAAATAATCTCATTTCGAATATTGTCACTTAAATTGGAAAAACTCCCCTCGCGCATTTAACCCTTCGGGGTGGGCGCGCAAAACGGAGGTGTGACAAGGAGTATGCGTCGTATAATGATTTGGTTGCTTCAATTTCTAATCAACTGGGCATAGATTTGAGCACAATGTCCATTAAAATTCAATACAAAGTAGAAGGGAATAGCACGCCAATGGAAATACACAATGACATGGGTTATATGGTGTATGTAGAGTTGAAAAAAGAGAACAGAGAATTCGGGATGTATCCTTTGTACATAACAACGATTGAAAAAGAACTCGTATCCTGTGGCAGTTTAAGTGAAGGAGATATTGTGCAAATAGACGAATCACTCCAAAGATATGTTGCTCTAGATCTTGTCAATTCAGGAGAAGCAATTGAGATGTTTTTACTGAACAAGGATTTGATAATTTCATAAACTAATCAAAGGGAGGTTATTGTTGGACAAGTATATAAGGGTAAGGCTACATTGAAAGAGGTGATGGAGAATTATGTTATATCTCAAAGGTTTCAATTCAGGGTTGATAGGACATGTTTTAAAAATATGTATTCAACTGTCTTTACAGGTCATATATTGCCACTAGCATATGGTGTTATTGATTTAGAGAACAATGCTGCTTGGACGTGGTTCTTTGAGCAATTCAAGATAGCATACAGTGACAGGGAAAACATGTGCATCGTTTCAGATAGAAATGAGAGTATCATTAAATCTGTATCGAGAGTGTATCCAGATGTACCGCATTTTGCTTGTATATGACATTTATGGAATAACGTATATAAAAAATACAAAAAGAGCCATGCCAAGTTGAGCGAGATATACTTCTCGATGGCAAAAGCATACACACAAGCTGAATTTGACAGTCTGATGGAGAAGGTGGAGAAGGTAGATATTAGGGTGAAAGAATACTTGGAGTTAGCTGGATACGAAAAGTGAGCTAGGTTGTATGCACCTGTTAACAGGGGATGAACAATGATGTCAAATATTGCTGAGTCAATCAATGTTGCACTAGTGTCAGCAAGGGAATTGTCAATATACGACTTCCTCGAAGAAGTTAGGAAGATGTTTGAATGTTGGAATTGTAATAACCGCAAATAAGCTACACAGACATACACAACGCTTGGAAAAAATTACCAGGTGATGCTGACTTTGAATGAGGTAATGTTTACACGCATGACTGTAAGTTTTATTTTAATGTCATTGTATTATATAGCTTAATTGTTTTCTGAAATAACTGACATGAATACAACTGAATACAACACATTTTTCATAATACAACCGACATGAATATATATGAATACAACTAAATTCAACTGCATACAACACATATTTTATCGAAGATCTGACATGAATACATACGAAT